GATAATTTTTTTTTTTTAATATTGTTTTTGAATTCCTTTGAGTAATATATTTTAGCTAACTTTCTTTTCTTTTCCAGCATTTGTTGAAGGGTTCTTAGAATATTCTCTAAGTTCTAGGCATATTCTTGGGATGTTTGATGTGTTTGTTTCCTTGTAGATGCATTGCTTTACTCTTTTCCTTCTTCTAGTTTTTCAAAAGATAATTTTTTTTTTTAAATATTGTTTTTGAATTCCTTTGAGTAATATATTTTAGCTAACTTTCTTTCTTTTCTGGTATTTGATGAAGGGTTCTTAAAACATTCTCTAAGTTCTAGACATATTCTTGGGATGTATGATGTGTCTGTTTCCTTGTGGATGCATTGCTTCGCTCTTTTCCTTCCAGTTTTTCAGAAAATAATTTTTTTTTTTAATATTGTTTTTGAATTTCTTTGAGTAATATATTTTAGCTAACTTTCTTTCTTTTCTGAGTATTTGTTGAAGGGTTCTAAAACGTTCTCTTTAAGTTCTAGGCATATTTTCAGGATGTATGATGTATCTGTTTTCTTGTGAATGCATTGCTTTGCTCTTTTCCTTTCAGTTTTTCAGAAGATAATTTTTTTTTTAATATTGTTTTTGAATTTCTTTGAGTAATATATTTTAGCTAACTTTCTTTTCTTTTCCAGCATTTGTTAAAGAGTTTTTAGAATATTCTCTAAGTTCTAGGCATATTCTAAGATGTATAATGTGTCTGTTTCCTTGTGGATGCTTTGCTTTACTCTTTTCCTTCTTCCAGTTTTTCAGAAAATAATTTTTTTTTTAAATATTGTTTTTGAATTCCTTTGAGTAATATATTTTAGTTAACTTTCTTTCTTTTCCAGTATTTGATGAAGAGTTCTTAGAACATTCTCTAAATTCTAGGCATATTCTCAGGATGTATGATGTGTCTGTTTCCTTGTGGATGCATTGCTTCACTCTTTTCCTTCCAGTTTTTTAGAAGATAATTTTTTTTTTTTTTAATATTGTTTTTGAATTTCTTTAAGTAATATATTTTAGCTAACTTTCTTTCTTTTCCAGATATTTGTTGAAGGGTTCTCGGAATGTTTTCTTTAAGTTCTAGACATATTCTCAGGACGTATAATGTATCTGTTTCCTTGTGAACACATTGCTTCGCTCTTTTCCTTCTAGTTTTTCAAAAGATAATTTTTTTTTTTTTTTTAATATTGTTTTTGAATTCTTTTGAGTAATATATTTTAGCTAACTTTTTTTCTTTTTTAGAACGTTTTCTAAGTTCTAGCCATATTCTCAAGATGTATAATGTGTCTGTTTCCTTGTGGATGCATTGCTTTGCTCTTTTTTTTCCAGTTTTTTAAAAGATAATTTTTTTTTTTTTAATATTGTTTTTAAATTCCTTTGAGTAATATATTTTAGCTAATTTTTTTTCTTTTTCAGGTATTTGATGAAGGGTTCTTAAAATGCTCTCTAAGTTCTAGGCATATTCTCAGAATGTATGATGTATCTGTTTTCTTGTAGATGCATTGCTTTGTTCTTTTCCTTCTAGTTTTTAGAAGATAATTTTTTTTTTTTTAATATTGTTTTTGAATTCCTTTGAGTAATATATTTTAGCTAACTTTCTTT